TGCTCTCCTCCCCCCCCAGCACACTCCAGAGGTCCAAGAGGCTCTTTTGGAGGGTCTGTGAAGCCTGAGGAACAGCATCAGTGAGGTTCCTTCCACAGAGCCCCAGCTGCATGACTCAGGTCAGATCAGGTACCTGCTCCTCCAGGTCTCCTCTGCTAAAAGCCTTAAGCTGAGCTCATTTAAAAAGCAAAGCTACATTTAATATTCTGCTGGTGAGAGAGGAAGAAACTGCTCAAACATGAAACCTCTTCATATACTCATAGATGGTTTGGGTTGGGATCTTAAAGAACATCTAGTTCCAAGCCCCTGCCCCAGGCAGGGACACCTCCCACCAGAGCAGGTTGCTCACCCATCCAGCCTGGGCTTGAACACTTCCAATGATGAAACCCCCACAACTTCTTGGGGGTAACCTCTTTGTGTCTCAGCACCCTCATAGTGCAGAACTCCCTAATTTCCCACCTAAATCCACCCTCTTTCAGTTTAAAGCCATTCCCCCTCATCCTATCACCACAAGCCCTTGTAACAAGCCCCTCCCCAGCTTTCCTGTAGGCCCCTTCAGGTCCTGGAAGGCCACAATGAGGTTCCCCTTCATGTGTACTTTTGATTAGAGCCTGAATTGATGCACAGACAGCCCCAAAACACAATTCCCACTGTCCCCAGGCACAGCAGGATGCTGCAGGACACAGCAGGACCCTGGTATGAACAGGCAGTGACCAGCACTCCACTGAAGGCAGGATAATTACTGCCCAGCACCTGGCTCTCAAACTCTTCTAGTCAGCTGGCAACTTTTTGTTTCCCCTAATGGTCACGAGAACATTTGCTCCTGAAGGTTTTGGGAATGATCTGGCAGGTGAAGCACCAGCCTGGAGCCAAGAGGAGGAGCTCAGTAATGGGTTTTGAACTTACCTGCTGTGACCTTCAGATGTTTGCTGCATCTTTTATCAATATTTGATGGTCACTCTTCAGAGTCCAGATTCTCCTGTACCACTCTGGGACCTGCCAGCACCCTGGGAACAAGTTAACCCAGACAACAAGGCTGACGAGGGGCTTTGGAGTGAAATAAGTGGTTTTACTTCCACGTGTCATAGTGCCAGACTTGTAACTCAAGCTAACAGCAGAATATACAGAGATCTTCAACACAGAGGAATGCAAGCACCTCAAAACCAGCAGCCAGCACTGTACAGCCAGAGAATTCTTCTTACAAGGCTTAACCCCTGCACAGAGGTGAACAACACAATGAAAAATGCATTTTGGTCAGCTGAAATCCAGTTACACAGGTTTAACAACTGGACCTGGCCAGCATCTCTCTTGCTTTTGTTTCCCAGAGGAAAGCCTCTCACTGAACAGGACCCAGAGAAAAGGGAACGTTTGTGTGCCAGCTGGAATATCTATTTAATAACCCAGCACAGACTGGAGACACGTCATGTTGGAATGAACTCTGTGTTGAGAGAGAGACTAACAGAACTCCAGGAAGACACTGATGACCCACAACTCACTGAAATAACTTAACACATGTACAAGAAGAACAGTTAAGGTATGGCTAGGAGCTGTACATTCCACCTGAAGCTCAGGGGTGGCCAGAGCAGCAGATCCCCTCTCCTGCCCCTAGCCATTGATGCGGTAATTGACGTGGATCTCGGGTTTGATGTCACACACCAGTGAGAGCAGCTGGGACAGAACCACCTCACGGTTCTTCTGGAAGTTCTGCTGGATCACACTCATCTTCTCCTGGGTCTCCTTCTCCACTTCGGTGGTGCAGCTGCCGTGGGATCCCAGGGCCTGCCAAGAGCAGAGGGAAGGGGAAGCTCAGGGGGGAGGGGGTTGGTAAAAGAGGGGAAAAAACCCAAACCCCCAGAAGTACTGCTGGAGTCCCTGCCTGGCTTCCCCACTGAGCAAGCCCACACTCACATCACCCACAGCCTGGGCTTTCACCCTGCTTTAGTCACTGCCCATTAGATTAGAGCACAGGCTTCTAAGGAATGTCTGGAATAAAGCTCCTGTTGTACTGGGAACCCCTGGGCACTGCTGGGCTAGGCAGCACCCAGGACTTAGTTTAAGCACAGTCCTCCCATCATAGAATCATAG